TTAACTGTGAGAAATTTTATAACATCCAAAAAATTTTAACCCTATTTTATTAATCTAATTAGGGTAATTAGTGAGTTAATGAGGTATGTGGCTAGAAGAGCTTAACTTGATATAAATTGTTATGATTTTAACCCTAAAAGTGGGTCCGGATCAATGGCAGGCTACTCGGGCAAGGAAAGAGGATGAAAAAGTGAAGAGTTATGATTTTGCATGAAAACAAAAGAGAGAAAGAGGAGGAAAATAAAGAGCTTAGTTTTGGCTTTGCTAGGGTATAACATTTGGTCCCATTGTTGATAGATTGGAGCTCCTAAACACCTAAGGTAAGATCATGGTGCCTTCTTCTTCCTTTTTCTTCCTCATTTATGATTATTTATGGTAGAGTTTAAGTTGGGAGATGGAATTTTAGTCTATAAGAGTATGGGTCCGATTCCATTGGTTAAAATGAGATTAATAGGAATAATTTAATGTATTGGAATACTACATTGATGATTTTGCAAGTTGTTAGTCTATGGGAGCATTAAGTGTCCAAAAATTAAAATTTATGAGACAGTTAGAAGAGGTTAATATACATTAATGATGGTTTAAGGTGTTATTAATGATAATGTAAATTAATGAAATCTAATGAGCTCATTGGATATGAATGGGTAGTAATTATGAGTCGGTTAAAATAGTGTTTGTGGAGTTTTATATTCAAGAGTTAAGTAATGATGATGTTCTTGTGGTTTGGATGAATAGAGGTTTGTTTTGGCACTTTTCAAGCTTGTTGAAGCTCTGAAAAGTTGATGTTGTGAGGGGTAAATCTTTAACCTCTTAAAGCTTTGATGTAACCGGGAGAAACTTAATTTTTATAGTTGAATGTTAATTGTGTTGTAAAATGTGATTTGTGAGTTAAATTGATGATACATATTAATAAATACTTGATTGTGAAATGGTTTTGGGGAAGAGAAAACTTTAATTCTACCACCCTTGATGTTTTATAAAATTACTTGTGATTTATTATTATGGGTGAAGAATTGTGATGAATTATGTGTTAAATTATGGAGTAATTGTGTTATGTGAGTTTATGTGTTGAGAAATAATTGTTGAAAATGCATAATATGTGTGAAATGTGCATAGTATGATCATTAGTAGGAGTTTACCTAAGGAGAGGAGTAGATTGGTTGAAATTCATGTGGTATTAGTAGTAACTGTTGGAACCGAGAATTAGCCTTGGCACTGATTGTTAGAATCGAGAGGTAGCCCTTATCCCAAGGTTAATTCAAGACTGTCTTACTTGTTCTATGAGGGACTTGAACCTAACTAATCTCCACCGATTTATGAGGAAGCTGAATTAAGGGTACAACACCCCATGGTTATTAGTATTGGGGGAAACTGGATTATAAAGTAAGTGAGTTAACCCTGTCCCGATAGCTCATTACAAGTAAAAGGCTGGGTTAGTCCATGAAGGATGTAGCCACGTGATAGCCATTAGTTTCTTGTCAGAGGTAATAGGAGGATATAAGGCTGGCATCTAATCATGCACATAAGTCCGGCCACATGGTTGTTAGTTTTGTGCTCCGATACATGTTAAGGGTGCATGGTTGTTGTTTTTGTGATCCTGAGTTATGTTTTTAAAAATATCATGATATAGTATTTTATGGCAAGCCCAATCACATGGTTGTTAGTTTTGTGAACCGTAGCCTAATGCTATGTGATATATGTGTTTACGTGTCAAATTGCTTCTATTTATGATTGATATGCAACTGTAAGGGTTAAGTAAAACTTGGTTACTGAGTAGTTGTACTCACCCCTCAATTCTCAATATTTTCAGGACCTAGCTCATCATATCCGAGTTGGGAAAAACATAATAAGGCTTAGGATTGGTGGAGTAAATCCTCTATATGCCTCTCTTTTACTCTTTACATGTGTATTTGTTAATGCCTTTGCTAATTAGGATTAATTGTCATAATTGGTGCACTACTTGCGTGATTTTATATTTAACTAGTGTATTTTGTGCTCCGGGTTAGTGATTTTTTGTTATGAACCCATAGATAGGGCCAAAATGCTTGTGCAAGTAGGAACATATGTATTTTTGAAAAAATATGAATGAAATGGTTAGATTTGTGCAAATTTTTCTCCCCCTCTATGTTTTGTAAAAATTGGTGTTAAATGGTGATTTTGTGAAATAAATGTATTTGATTGTGTGTGATGTGTTGCACGAGTCCGCAATAGTTTATTAAGTGTGGTCGGAGGGTTGGTGTAGGTTATTGGCACGTGTGGTTGAGTTGGGACATCTCATTTGAAAAATTTTGTGAAAATGTGTCAAAATGGGGTTTGGTGTCCAACTTTTGATAAAAAATGAATCTGAGTATGAAACTAGTGTCATTAGCTAGAGCTAGAAGAAAGCTCCATGTAAACACCAAAAACCACCTCAATCAGATGTCAGATGGAGATTTAGGATGTGTCAAAAATTCACTCCCTTTGTTGTCAAATGACATGACTAATCTGTCAAATTTCGTACAATGTGCTGCAGTACATGGCATAGAGGAGACACGTCACAGTGCATGTGTCATTTTCTGTATAAAATTGATTTTTGAGTTTTAAAACTCATTATTTGGATCCCAATTAGTTTCCAAGCTTCTACTTTGTTTTGAAAACTCTGATTTGGAGTCCTTAAAATATGTTTGAGATTTGAAAGGCTGAAAATTGGGATTCTTTGAAATAGATTTTGAGAAATTCATTTATTAAGTTTTACAGTTTGGTAATCCTTGAGGGTAAAACCTAGGATTACCATGATTTGGAGTTAATTGCTTTTAACCTTAAGGAGGTTACAAATTTCCCTTTCAAACCTGATAAGCGTTTCTTAGCTTTCTTAAGGATAAGCATGAATAATCTATTTGTAACTCTCTTAAGAATAAGAAGGATACTTAAATATTTCCCTAAATCTCCCGTCAACCACACACCTAGGTCTCTACTCAACTATAAAGCCTATTGGCATGAACAGTGGTGGAGACAAAGAGCTTAGTTTTCTCTTTATTTATCCTTTGACTAGAGGCAGAATATAATTTAGATAAACAATCATTGATAGCTTCAATCTGATTATGAAAAGCTTCATCACAAAGAACAAGGTCACCTGCAAAGAATATGTGTGATGAACAAGGTCTTCTGAATATTAATTCATATGCATTCATGTAAAACTGACTATGACAAGTTCACGATGGGCCAATCCAATCTACTTAGCCCAAGAAGATTTATTTATTTGGGCTTTTACACATATAGCCCATATTATAATACTGAATAAAAAAAATAGCCTATCCTTTCTTAAATTTAAAAAATGGCCTTTTCAATATTTAGTTGATCTTTAATTTTACAAAATTGCCATTTTAAAATCATAACACTCTGCTCTTTACAAATAATAGAAGAAACTAAAAAGGCAAGAAATCAAGCAAACAAGAGAGACAAATGCAAGTTACAATCATGATAGAAGAAACAACTCAAAGACGGAAGAAAGTAGAGTAATGTGAGTGAGCCATAGTCACAATAATAAGAGACATCAACGATACTTGATGGAGCAGAGCATGCCAATAGGAAACAGAGCTCCAGATTCATAATTTTTTATTTTACTAGTTTATGTATTTGATTCTATGTGATAAGTCAAGAGTTGAAATTTTTTCGTGGACTTTGTTTGATCAATTTTGAGTAAATAATTACGTGTTTTTATGTTACTTATATGTGATACTATATCATTGATGTACTACTATATATAAATGATAAATAAGATCATGTTTGATTGTCTGGTAATGTTATATGTGATAGTATATTGATAATATACTATCACATATCAGATATCAGTGATATATAAGTTATATCAATGAAAATTTACCAACTTGTTTACCATTGATGTAATATGGCATATTAGTAACATAAAAAACACTTAATCATTTGCCTAAAATAAATTAAACACAATCTATAAAAAATTTGATGTTATTGAGAGATATGAAGATGGTGAAAATTCAATAATAGATAACCTAGTCTTCCACTTTCAGAAATGAGAAGCCAGGCCAACTTCAACCATATACTAAATAATGATATTTGACAATGTGAACTTCTAAAAATTTTCTGTGAATCATCATTGTCACCTAACAAAATCTTATATTTTATTTTACATTGTTAGGTGGATATAATACATAATTATGAATCATGGACAAGTTATGCGGGATATTTTTTACTCTATTTTGGAGATATTGTGCCAAAAATTTTATGTGTTGAGGGGAGTTTTTGTTAGGCAAAGAAGGAATATCACATTCCAACTAAATTTGTGAAGGATCAAACTCCAAATTTTTATAAACTCTGACAAGAATTTTTGTGACCTATATATGTTTTGGCCACTGTGCCAATTTTTTCTGATTCATTCATGTGAATACAATAAATTATTATTTACCAATATAATAATAAAAATTATAAAAAATAGACTAATATGAACATGAACATAGTTCATCTCTATTATACGTAGCATAATTTATAGAAACTTGCATTATCCATGAGAACATCACTACTTATTTAAATTCCACATAAGATACTAAACTCGTTTATAGTTTACTATTTTCAGTGCTCCATATAAATCATATTTTAAAATTAATTAATGGCTTCTTTTATAAACTATTTTATATACAAATATATTATTAATTTCTTTTTTCTGATTATATCTTTTTGTAATTTTCTTCGAGCGTGGTGAAAAATTTATATAAAACATTATCAGTTTACGTGTTTTTAAAGTTTGTGTATTTAACAAAAGTAAAGAGGGATTTGGCCAAAAAAAAAAAACAGAGGAATTGTCTACTAACCTATCATCTAATGGATTCCCTATATAAAATCGCTTGCATGATTTGCAATACTCTTTTCTTCCCATTTTTAAAAATCCCAAATCAGCTGGGAGCCAGGAATCTATGGTCACATTTGGAAGGGGAAAAAAAAGAGAAAATAACCTGGCTAGCATAAAACACGCACGTGACTAGACCGTGCATGTGCGGCATCTACTATCTTCAGATAAGCGTCCTTAAGTTTTAATTCATATCCCTTCGCCTCGTGCCGAAAGGAGCCTATCTCTCGTCCTCTAAAACTAAAACCCTAAATTTCACCCGTTCACTTCAATACGAGGTATCTCAGTTCGTTTCAAAGGTAAGATGATGCTAGGCTATGGAATCTCTAGAGTTTTGTTGTATTCTTGACGAGGTCGAGAAAAATCAGTTTCTTGCTTTTCTTACATTATACTGATTTTGTTTGTACACAATGAATTAGTTCGACTGCGAGTTTTAAAATTCAACTCGGTCGATGTATTGGCCACCATGGGGTTATCCCCTTTTAATTTTCCATCATTCATGTGAGCGACCTAGATGATTATTGGGATTTTTGTTTCTAGTCTCTCTTGCGTATTATTCATTTCTTGGGCTAATTACTTTGTAATTATTTTACATTTCATAGGAAAAATGAGTAGACGTGCAAGCAGAACTGTCTACGTTGGGAATTTGCCGGGCGATATTCGTGAAAGAGAAGTGGAAGATCTGTTTCTCAAGGTAGTTTGGCACTTCTCTTGTTTTTCAACGCCTTCTGGATCTATCCTCTTGCTGTTTACTGCTATGCGATTTTGTATCTTCCTCTGGGTCATATTGTTTTATCATTTAGAGCTATTATTCTGAATTATCGTGATTGAATGTACGGATTTCAAAGTCGCTGGGAAGCTGTGCAATCTTCTATGAGGCTTGTCTTGCGTAAATGTTTCATAATAAATGTGATCAAGTCTGCGAATCTTGATGCATATTGTTTTAGAAAACTATCTAGCCTATTCACGATGACTGGTCAAATTTTTGGTGGCTTGCAATTGAAGTGATTACTACTGGATTGGCAAATATGAACCCGACATATAACTGGTCTGTTGGGGCGCGAGGCAGCTGGCCACCATCAGACAGCGTTGACGTCTGCAAGACTGCAACCCTGCTGAAATGAGATGGATATAGTGGGAGTTGGGGAAGATGGAATGACTAGATTCTGTTGGTTGGAAGTGGCTAAAGGAATAGATTAGGAAGTTGAAGTAGGTAGGAGATAATTACTAATGTATGCTATGGTATTTTTCTTTTCTTTTCAAAATATAAGGTAGATAGAGCTTAGAAGAGGTAGAGGGCTGGCTTTCATGGATGAGTGAAATAATATAACTGTGACATAAAAATAAAAAGGGTCTGTGAAATGCGTTTTATATTGAAATTTCTCATCTATGTTAATCTTTATATATAATTAATATACAGGCAAAAGTTCAGCAAGTATTATTTTGAACATTACAAATATGTAAAGAACTATCTCCTAATATTTGCTGAGTGTTAAAAGCTTAACTGATAATCTTTCTATGTGTTAAAATATCATACTTCTGAATCATGCCCCTAATACTATTTTCCAAGGTGTTGTGATCTGATTGGCTTGTCTACTGATTGTACCCTGCCTATTACAAATCATGCAACACCTTCATAATTAGGCAAGCCTGGATGTGTCCTTTTTTCAGATCGATGATTTTTGGATCTTATTTGGATCAAAGCCATTAAAAACTTGATATTTAAAACCATTAGAACATACCATGACCTAGAAATTGATATTTATTTGTGGATTTGATTTCATCCAAGTTCTAGACCAGTACAGGGGATTGTGGAAATTAATCTATTGATATATTTGAAAGAGTAAAATCATTCATTTCTCTTCTTGGGTAATGCGCTTTCACTGATTAAATCTCTTTTCTTGCAAATTTTTTCTCTGCAGTATGGACACATAACTCACATTGACTTGAAGGTTCCTCCCAGACCCCCGGGATATGCATTTGTAGAGGTGAGTTTGGTTTGATAGGTTGGTCTTATTTTTTCTTATTTTACTTTATCCTAATTATTGATTGATTTTTGCAGTTTGAGGATGCTCAAGATGCTGAAGATGCTATTCGTGGCCGTGATGGCTATGATTTTGATGGACATCGGTTACGGGTTGGTTATATCTCATCCTACTTGCTATGGGTTATATGATTGGTGTGGCGTATTGCCAATAGGTTAAGTTTATATCTTTGTAGGTAGAACCTGCACATGGTGGACGTGGTCATTCATCGTCCCGAGACCGATACAGTAGTCACAGTAATGGTCGAAGTGGACGTGGTGTTTCTAGGCGCTCTGAGTACCGTGGTTTGTGATTTTTTCATTGAAACACTTGGAACTTTTTGCAAGGAACTGTTTTCAATTTGTTTCCTGAATTTTCACTCTTCCTTGTGCAGTTCTAGTCACTGGGTTGCCCTCTTCTGCTTCCTGGCAGGATCTCAAAGTGAGATGCAGTAATTATTTAATTATTTTGGAGAATTTTTCTGGGATGTTACATGAATTTCATAAAAATTTATTTTCTAACTTCAGGATCACATGCGGAAAGCAGGAGATGTTTGTTTTTCTCAAGTTTTTCATGATGGTAGAGGTGAGATACATTCAACTTTTTTTTTTTTTTAATTTTGAACAATTGTGTGGATGTCAGCAGCTAAGTTTTCTGTCATTGTTTTTTTTTTAATTCTTTCTTGGCTCCATTTATCTTGGTTTTTTTTTTGTTTTTTTGGTGGGAAGGGGTTTGAGCCTGTGAAAAGGGTGAGGTGATCTGTTATTTTCCCGACTTTTATTTACTTCTGATTCTAATTCTAATATTGTTTCTGCCAAACTTCTATGTATCATTATGGTATTCTATAGGAACAACTGGGATCGTTGATTACACAAACTATGATGACATGAAATATGCTGTAAGTTGCTTCTATTGTTGTATAATTTTATTAATTTCTAAGTAACATTACACATTTACGCATAACCTTGTGTTGTGACTATGAAATATGAGATTTTATACCTCTTCAGATCAAGAAGCTTGATGACTCTGAGTTTCGGAATGCATTTTCCAGAGCTTTTGTCCGGGTAAGAACCAAATCTGTGTTGTATTTGGTTTAACAGATTGTACTTATCAATTTTCTCTGTTATTGTAGGTGAGGGAATATGATTCAAGGCGGGACTCCTCTAGAAGTCCTAGTCGTGGCCGATCTTATTCTAGGGGGCGAAGTTATAGCCGCAGTCGTAGCCGCAGTTACAGTCGAGGGCATAGTCAGAGGTCTTGTCTCCTTGGCTTGAAATCAATGTTGATCGTTGAGTGAGATTTTTTTGTTAACTTTAGTTTGTATTTGTCATTTTATTATGCAGCAAATCTCCAAAGGGCAAATCTTCGCAGCGTTCACCTGCTAGATCTCCTTCAAGATCTGTTTCGCGATCACGTTCTCACTCAAAGTCAAGGTCCAGATCTTTGTCAGGGTATGCAATCTAAGTTTCAGTGCATTATCCATGTGTCTATTATTGCTTATTGCCACAGTTTACTCTTTGAAATATTGGTTTTTGTGTTATTTGCTATTTCAATGGCTGGTTTACCAGTCTTATTTAGACTTTTTTTAGGTGCCCTGAGGGGTCAAAAGAGCCCTCCCTGAAAGGACGTTAAAGATGGAATTGGAGAAACATTTAGAGAATGAGTGTTGATGGTGAATGGGATCTAAGTAATTTACAAGTAGTGAATAATCAATGTTGTACCAATAATTTATTTAGATGTAAACAGCTCTAAATTTCGGTTGCTTTGTTATATAAGTGAAGTCAATTATGCACCTTTAATTGGTAATCTTGATAGGTGTTAAGGACTGTTAACTGTTTCCTTTCCTTTCCTTTTTTCTTTTTTGGCCACAAGACTGTAAATTGTTTCATTTACCACCCTTTCCTCCCAAAATTAAGATGGATAAAGGAACTCTTGCTTAGTTGGTGGTAAGTTTCTGTGGATGAAAAAGGCCATTGTTTGAAGCTACAATATTGCCATAAGCTTTTCTTTATTAATTGAGATATAATCGTTATTTTTGGACACCCAACTATTGTTTTCTCCCTGCCCCTCCTATCATTTCCCCCTATCTTTACATGTTCATGGGATCTATGGCAAACGAGGCCATCTTGTCAGAGTACTCGGTTTCTATTTCCCTTTTGTTTTGTGAAAAAATTCCTTTGTTTTTTTCCTTAGATATGGATACTTGGAGCAAACTGGGAATTGGAAATTAGGAACTTGGTGGGATTTGGTTCAATTGCCTGCAACTCAATTTGTTGTGGAGGTATGATATTTTTAAGATGGGCGACTTTGGATACCTACAAAGTACACTTGTTCTAATGCTTTTAGCATGTAGATGTCCATGGGTGCTAGATTGGGAATCAAGGAGATCATGGATTGCTATTTTAGAGAAGGATGTCTTGTGTGCTAAAGCAAGTGGGATTTGGAAATCACCTTCAATGAGAGTAATAAAGGGAATTTCATTACAATTGTCAGCTCCAAGATTTGCCAAGCTAATAGGATGCACTATATGGATTCTCTGGATTGTTATGGTGCAGTAGGGAAGAATTCTTCTCTCCAATCCTGGTGTCCTGATATTACCTTATAATGCTCTATTTTTACTGGCATCGTATCCTGTTTTATGGAGTAGAATGTCTTATAAGTTTGCCTTAATTTTCTTTCTTTCCTTCCTTTTTTTCTCCAATTAACGCTTTCATAATTTAATTATGTCTGGGTGTACCTCTTCATCATGATAAGTGACTTGGGAGAGGCATCAAGGCCAGTTGGATCAAATTTGATTGAAGGAACTTGCGGATTTTAAATTATGTTGTTTCTGGAACTTTTGCAGATCACGATCGAGATCCAGATCTCCATTACCTATGGTGAGTGAAATGTAACTCTAATCAAATGTGGATTTGGTTTGTTGTTTTAAGTGCAACATTGAATGGGCTCTTGGCCTTTTGATATATAACCCATGAATTAAGGCAAACCATGGGGATTTCAAGGTATATATAGAATTTCATTATTGATTTCCGTGAGTACTTTGATGTTTAAACCACTATTTTTGCACTTGTGTTCGTCAATCATATGATCGAGTGTGTTTCGAGGGAAAATTTGCAATTTGACCTCCAATTCTGGTAGATCTGGCCCTTTTTCCCCACTCCTGAATTGCTGTGTATCTTTGGCAGCGTAATAAAAGCCCAAAGAAGAACAGCGCCAGCAGGAGCCAGAGCCGGAGCAAGAGTTTGTCTCGGTCTCTCTCATATTTCACATTTCTCTTGATGATAGCCTTTCATTCCATCATTGAATGTGTCAATATCGTCATCTAATCTACCTTCTTTTTTCTTGGCTGATTGGCTGTTGGTCTGGCAGGTGAGCTCTGATTGTTGTCGATCTTCTCAGTTTATGAAGTTGTGAATGATGATGAGTTCTATAAAGTTAGCGCCGTAAACTGATATTGGCCAAGTAAATCAGCTGACTGGCTTAAAGTTGTTGTTGATTAAACTTTTTGAATTGAACACACTTCGACTTGTATCTTGTCTTTACCATCTTAGTCCATGAGAATTAGTGGATTCTAGCTTTGGGACTATGGAGTGTTTTATGCTATCCGGTCATATAATGGGACAATTCAAGTATCGTTTGGCCTGAAGTCTTTTCAGTCTGAAATTCAAGCATGCCTTTTGACGTTATCTCTTAGGAATAATTTGGTTATGACTTGGGTCTTGCGCTTTTATTTGTCAGACCCAAGAGTATTTTTCTATCATTTGCAATTTCCGATTAGAAGAGACTAGGACTTGGGATGCTCGAGGAGAATGGTGGAACGTGAAGGGTTTCAGTAATTTAAATTTTACAGCATGTTATATGTACAATTATGCTTATTCAGTCTCCATATATAACAAAAATTCTACCGAGTCATGCATGAGGTTTGTCATGATTAATTTTCTTAAGCAGTGTGATGCGTGGGAACCAAGTTTTAATACAACAAGTAACTGACGTTTGGAATTAGGGAAAACGTGTCATGATAAATACCTTGGTGAAAATTGTATTTTATCAGTAAATTTACAGGTTTTTTTTTGGGGGGGGGGGCCAGTGTAAATATCATATTTTGAAGTCTTTTTTAAATGTAGATCCAAAAGTTTGGGAGCCCCCGTGAAGCGTTATAGCCTTTTGTTTGGGGGCCAAGAGCACAAGTCCACTTATAAAATAATTTATACTCCCGAAACATCGTGGATGTGTCATATCTCACTCAATCAGCGTTGAACCCTATATTAAGAAAGTAGAATAGGGAAGAACACAGGTGCAAGTGATGAAATGTAATAATATAATATAGGGAACGCTATATTAAGTAAGTGGAATAGGTTAGATAATAAGCGAAAGTGATTAGATGATATTGTGAATGCACAAGGAAAGTTGCAATGGAGAATAATTGATTGACATGGGAATTATTCGTGGATGGGTCAAGGAGGGGACATCGGGGATGGGATAAGAGGCGAATGGATGAGGATAGACAAAACGTGGAGGGGCCGAGTGATTGGCACGTGTCTTGCAAAGTGAGGAAGCAATACGCCAATTAGTGATCTCAAGGCTCAACTGAACGACAACAGCCACACAGCCTCGCAGGCTTTGCGTCTCCTGTGCTGTCTGCTTGTGCGTTCTTTTCCCTTTACACCCACCCACGATGGCGACGCTTCCACCACCTCTACTCAGCTTCTTCAATACTCCAAACAGCCTCCCTCCCTCTCTCCACTAATCCTGTACATTTCATTGTCAAGGTGAATCCCCTTTTGGGGCTTAACGTCAAGTCTTTTCAAATTGGTATTCTCATGTAAGTACGGTATTAAGAAGAGAGCCAACTTAACTAGTTGAATTGTTAATTAATTTAATGAAATATTTTGTTTATAATTTTTTTATCCCAATTTTAACTATTAATTTTTGGAAAAATGATAGTTACATCTCAAAATAATGAATTAATAATATTTAAGTTCTCGATAATTTTTTAAAAAAAATAAATTGAAAATATTCATATAAATTATTACAAATCCTGAAATTTCAATTGTAAATAAATATTTAAATATTAAATATAATTTTTAAGTTATAATAAAAATTTTTGTTTATAGTTGTTTGCATTGATTTTTATAATTTATTTTGTAAAAAATTTTATCGAAAATTTAACTATTATTAATTTATTTTTATGAGATCCAACTATCATTTTCCCTTATTCTTTAAACAATTATCTAGAATAGTTCAGTAAATAGTCTGATTTTCAATAACACACTCGGAGAGATGCGAATCTTCGGCTGTGACATTTCAAGCTATTTTTTTCTGGGCCAGTTAGAGGTAATGGAAAAACTTTTAAAAATAGTAAAAAAAAAAAAAGTTAAGGTACATTTTTTCTTGAGAAGTATACAGTATCATAAAAATTATTTATTATAACAATTTCTTTCCTAAAGTAATTAAAACATAACATATTTTTCTTAACATTGGATACTCCCAATATTGACTGTTAAAAATTATAACTGAGATTTAAATTTGACAAAAAATGCCACCTATCATATCAAATAAGTTTAAAAATATGCTAAATTTTAATTATTTTAAGGGTAAAATTATTTTATAACAAATAATTTAAGATACAGGTAATCTTTAAAGAATAGTTAGGGGCAAAAATGCATCCTAATTCAAACCCACCCAGTAAGATAAGTAACATTTTTAATTAAATTTAAATCTTAATTAGCATTTTTAATAGCTAATGTTGGAGTGTTTAACGTCAAGAAAAAATTGTTATATCTTAATTATTTTATTGGTAAAATTTCCATGACAAACAATTTAGATTATTGGATGCTTATAGAATAGTTTAAAAGAGAAAAATGTACCTTAATTTTAAAAAAATATTAATTTTAAAAGTTTGCCTCTTCCCTCCTAGGCTTTAGCCTTCAATGCCCAACTATCTATTAGGATGACGCTCTCGTCGTGAGTAGCTTATTAGTTAAACAAATTTGAGTTTAATTTTAATATTATTTTATTATAAAGTTATTATTTCCTTCACAAAAAATTAACCTATTAAAAAGTATAATATATTTATTTATACAGTTAGGATTTTCTTCAAGTCCTTTCAATATGGGACTTGACACACCGCGCCTCCTTTTCCGGGGTATTTTCAACAGCCATTGTATCTCTTCTTACTTAGCTGATGTTTATTTTCACAATTTTTCATGACTTATTTTTATTGTTGTCAAATGAAATCTATTCTTTAAAAAAAAAAAAATGTCTATAGTGCATGCACATGGCGTGTGGATTACAGTCAAATTGCGATAAATTATTTAACAGACAAAAGAAGAAAGATTGAATTGATTTGTGGTGACGGGTGAGGTGATTTATTGCAACTGGCAATGTCTGGTGGGAAACAGTCTTCTCGTCACAATTGGTGGTGGTGTTTATGATATAGTACAGAGCCACAGGCCTCTCAAGTTGTAGATTCGATTTGGCTCCTGAGGTTATTCTCCTTTTTCTCCAATTCCACCGCTCCATCTTCCACCTTCATATCACAAACTCTTGATCAAACATGGCGTGCAACGTCTTCTCCATGCTCACGGACGATGTTATTCTCAGCATTTTTCTTAAGCTCGACGACGATCCCCACCACTGGGCTCGCCTCGCCTGCGTCTGCACCAAATTCTCATCTCTCATACGCAATTTCTGCTGGAAAAACCAGTGTTCCCAGAACATCCCTTCCGTTGTCTCCGATCTCTTCTCCGACTTCTCTTCTCCGCCCGGCGGTTGGGCTTCCTTGCATAAGCTCGCCGTGTGTTGTCCTGGCCTCCTTCACGCCGGGGTCCTCTTAGAGAGCTCCGATTTCGGGCTTGAGCTTGAGCTCGGCCCGGACGAGAATTATCAGAGATTGGTTTGCCCAAAAACGACGGGAGCACCCCCTGAGGTTTGCTCGAGTCGGTTGGATGATAACTCCAATGTCGGTGCTTCCGGGTCTGATTGTTATTGGTCCCTTTTCGATGATCTGTATTTTGATACTGTCTATGATACTTCTGAGTCCCAACACAATTCTGAGCCTCAAATCCGCGAAGAGGTTGAGAAAGGCGTTGTCAAGGTCGGCGGCGAATTCTCTTCGTGCAAAAAGAGGAAGGTTTCTGGATCACCGAGGTCGCATTTGGCTTCTCGCATTTGGAATCTGAGTAGAGAGGAGGGGAACAAGCTGCTCGCCAGACAATTTCGTGATGACTGTCTGTACATTTGTGATTGGCCTGGCTGTGTGCACGTGGAGGAGAAGAGGAACTACATGCTCTTCAGAGGCATTTTCAAGGACTTTAAGCGGTCCCGTGTGTGGAGAACAATCAACGATGGCAATCGGAGGAAGATTGATCTGAATTGCGCGTTTTGCCTGTGTAAGGAAACTTGGGATTTGCACTCTGCTTTCTGTTTAAGGCGAGTTTTTGGGTACCACGACGACGGCGAACCAGTTGTTCGAGCTTATGTTTGTGAAAATGGTCATGTCTCTGGGGCATGGACGGATTTACCTCTGTACACTTAATCCAAATCTTAGGTTCATGTCAACCTACTCGTTACTTCTCTTAGATTATATCATTATATGGGACCATTATTAAAATCTGTTCTACTTGGCTGCGTATTACTACTCTTACACTTATCATGCATTATTTCTTCTCTTGAAGCTCAGGCTCTCCGATGCGTTGCTTGTCATATTTTGTCAAAGCATTCTAGAAATGTTGAGTTTCATGAGAAGACGCCCGAGTTTAACCCCGTTAGCTTCATGAAAACATCGTACTTGAAACTGTATTGACCTTCCTAATATAAGGTTGAATCCAATTGCTTTTCCTTGGTGGCATGAGCCCAATTGTATGTTCGCTGAACCCAATAGTATACATTTTCTCCGACTTAATTACTGTTTGCCGTGAGAATGTCTCGTAGCATATCTGCATGTAAGAAGATCGTAGTGCTTGCAGGGTGTGCTTTGCCTTCCGCCATCGAGCATCTTGGAATATTTTGTCAGCTTAGTGATCTTGGTGTCAAAATATTTTGATGCTTCTGTGTCCCGAATGCCAGGAACAGGCACTGATAGAAATAAGTGCCCAACAAGTCCACGGGCGATGGCGGCCGGCTGGAGCTCAGTGCTTGTGTGTTAAGTTTTTTTTTTTTTAGTTAAAAAAAAAAGAATGAGAGTATTTTAGTAATTATATATGTAACATATTTACAAACAAGATATTTGGAACTTGGGAGTAATTTATGTTTTTAAATAGATGTTGTAGTAATTAGAATTCATGTGAGACAATTTATAGTGATTTTTCTTAAATTATTTTGCACTTTCTTGATGTGGTTGAACCACTGCCGTTGCTTGTTCTCCATCTTTATTGTCGGTTCAGAAGTGTTTGGACAATTTCAAGAGGTCTGTGGTAATACGAAAAGAGAAGGGAATTGGGTCCCTTCAAGATTGCAAATCCTGCTTTGTGCAATCGGATGAGCTCTTTTTTTTTTTTTTTTTTTTCCTTTAATCTAGCCCGTTTGCTTGGATTTGTGGCTCTTGTATTTGAACATCCATAAATGGTCGGCGTCCTTGATAAATGATAGATCTCTAATTTTTTTTTTAAAAAAAAACATTCCTCTTTAAAACTAATTGTGCAAAAGATTGAATGAAATTGAACTAACCAAAATTTAATCTCTTTCATAAAAATAACTAAATTAAATAACCTATAATTTGGTCTAGTTTAATAATAACTTAAAAATTAGTAGGATCGGATTTAGTTCATAAAATTAAAAAATTGATATTATTAATTCAGTATTCATTTAGCTTTTTTTTTCTTTTTTCTTTATAAGAGGAAATAATTCATTCCAACTTAATAAATTCAATTAAGATAATAAAAACACTTATAATCATAATATATCTATAATAATATCCAACAAGAAGAAAAAATTTCAGTTACAATTTAAGTGGTCCATATTATTAAATTATCAGTATGAGCATGCAACCGTGTGAGGAACAGACTTTTTAAATTATTAATAGTCTTAATGTGTTGTTATAAATAATTAATAAATTAATTATAATCATATTAAATAAATTTAATAAAACTAGATTGGATCAAGTGATCCTGAAGCTCAATCTTCTATTCAATCTAACTTGAAATAATAATTTTATCCTTTTAATTTCTTTAATCTCAAGGGATCGGTTTTTAGTAGAATTGGATAACACTGAGCCTTTTTGAATTAAATTGAATCGAATAGAATTAGAGGACTTCTCCTCAGCCTCACTTGAGGGTATGCTATGAGACATTTCTGTTTTTTTCTTTTTATTTTTTAGAGATAAAATAAAGTCAGCACCACTAAACAGTGGGCATTACAATCCGTGCGTCCATCCTCTCTGCCTCTATCACCTTAGCTAATTCCATAGGTGCCTCGTGGACTGGATTTTTTAAAAAATAATGTGTGGTTAAAATCAAGGTATTGAAAACCGGACCGGTCATTGAACCGGCCAAACTCAGGGATCAAGGGTCATGGGTTCAACCAGGGGTCAAACCGGAGTCAGACCGGTCATAATAAAATAATATAATTTAAATAAAAAATATATTAATTCTCAATACGTTCATACATATCCAAGTCTTAATATCTCATATAACATATAACAATAATTCTAACAATAATAAAGTATAACAACATTTCTATATTTTTTTAAAATAAGGTTAACTAAATGATAAAAAAATTTCAATGAGTTAAAATAATAGAAATAAAAATTTATTTTAAAATAAAAGATAATAAATGAAAGTGATATATTTTAAAAATTATTTAATTAAATAATTCAAATTAAAAAATAATATAATATAATATATATTTATACTTTTTGATTTCTTTTTACTTCTTTCATCCCCTTATCTGACATAAGTATATTTTTTTTACCCTATGACTCATATTGACCTATCATTAATCATTATCATGTTAAAAATAAATATATATCTTAATTAATTATTATTAATTTTTTTTTAAATTTCAACCCGCCCAACCTGCCTGAACCGAGGGGTTGGGCGGGTTAATCCGGGTTAATCCCGGGTCACCCGGGTTAACTGAAAACAAAAAAAAAAACCGGACCGGACACATGACCGGGTCACCGGTTCACCGGTCGGACCGGCCGGTCCGATCCGGTTTTAAAAACAATGGTTAAAACAGGGATGGATCTGGAAATTAGCATATGGGGGCAAAAATGAAAGGTTACAAAAAAGTGAAGGTCAAAATTAATTTTCACATGGGTTACATATACACTTTTTATAAAGAAAAAATTTATATAAAAAATTATATCGTGCTTGCCGTCCTTGGATTAAAATTATTATTTTTTACTCTTTTAATTTATATAATCTCCTTTATTAAAATTTTATAACCTCCTCTATCCATTTCCATTGAATCGAATTCATTAAGATCTCAAATGGTTTAATTCAGTTACTAAGGAAGCTATGTGGCTAGTATATAAAAGTTGTTTTCATTTGCATTTTAGTATGGACTCTCTTCCGAAACAAAAATGGAGCTTTTGTTGGGACAGGCTACTCTTCAAATCAAAGAACCAAGAATAAGACAGAGGAATCAGGGGATGGCGATGAACTATGCTCGCAATTTATTAAAAACGGTAGAGGGACTGATTTATGATCATTAAAATTAGCCTCCATTGTCTTGAAATGAAGAGTAAATGATCAAAAATCCAAGGAATGATGGCGATGAATACGCATGAAAGATTGAAAGTTGAGGAGAGGAGAGATGAAGACGAGGAAGATGGAGGTCCAGTGATGCAATGGTTGCCACTTCATGTTGGATGATGGTGCTGGCAAGCAAACAAGGCTTTACCGCGTTAGTGGAGGCCAAATCATTCCACATGGATCCAAAAGTAACAGTGTTTTGATAGCATGTGCTTTTAATTAAATAATAAATTTTATTAAAATAAACTAGCTTCTGACAATATATATATATATATATATATATATAGTATCTAAAAAATATGGTCCAAATTTTTTAAACTTTTGACGTGTGGCCATTTACATTAATATATAAAAAATTTATTATTAAAAATTTAAAAATTTACAAGAGATTTATTATTAATATATAAGGGTATACCATTAAAAAATATAATAAACCGATCAAATATAAAATATAATAAATATTTAAATATTTATTTAGTTTGGTTCTATAATATAAGTCATATTTGTAAAAGCTTCTTTTCATTAACATACAAGATTTAAATAAAACCACCTTAAATATGACAGTGGGAAATATAATACTTCTTCAATTCTTATTATAAGTTATAAGACATTTTTAATTGTTTTACATATTTTAAAGGAAGATTGGTTTTTTTTTTGTTTATATCATAAAAAATGAAATATACTTCTTTTTTCTTTATCCTTAACTTTTAATAATAATACAAATATATTAAATACTTTCATGATAATCAATGAAGGGTAAAATTAAAAAAGTAGTTTAAATTTACAAATTATCCTACATTTTGGATTATGAATTACTTTTAAAATGTGTCTTGTAAATAATCCTTTCGTTAAAAAATATAAAGTATTTTTTGAGGAGTTTAGTGTTAAAAAATGTAAGGTATTTTTAATCTTTTGAAATATAATTATTGCTTTTTTTTCAAATGTACTCCTATCAATGAATGGCTTTATATTTATTGTAAGGTGTTTAATAGAGATAAATATAAAAGAATAATGTTAATTTAAAAGTAAATAATTATTTTATTGAGAGTGAGATTCGGTTAAAAATTTAGAACAGTAAAAACTATCATATGCTTCAATATTTCTTATAAAAAAATTATAAATTTAAAAAGCATTTATTATATTTTTTAAAATTTCCTTTCATCTATTAGATAAGAAGTATTAATCAGAAACATATTTAAATATAATTATTAAAAATATTTAATTTTTTTTGAGTTGGTTAAAATTTATTTATATTTAAAAAACGAAAAAGAGGATATAATATACTAGAAACCCGACTGATGATTAAATTAATAATTAAAACTGAAAAAGTAAATATTATTAATTATTATGTCAGGGTCGGGAACTGGACCTGACCGCGACAGTTTGTCTACAGACAAGGAGCAAGTGTCTAAAAAGCATTCACGCGGACATGATTCTTAGAGGCCCGGTAATGGACTCTAACTTATAAGCTCGTCATTTTCTGAAGCTCCATTTTTATTCGAAGTGCTTAGGATACTGTTATTTTCAAAGATAATTTTTTTATAAAATAGGAGTAAAATTTAACTTTTTAATATTACAAATTAATTAATTTTTTTGAATCTAAAATAAATAAAACAAATTCAAATTCTCATCATCATCTTGAAAAAATAAATAAAACAGATTTTGAAGTGTAAGTTTAAAACAAAGATAATTTGTTTTTGTTACAAAACAAAGATAAAATTTTCATCAATGCATATCTTCTCGTAATCATCTAGAAACTTATTTTATTAATCCCATTTCAAATGCTTCCAAGAACAGAGTTGGTTTTTTTTCCCCAATAGAATCTTGGCAATTAAGTAAATACCCACGGAGAGGCCTTGGAAATCAGAATAATTAGCCAGAGATTACTTCCCACAATTAAATTGCGGAACCAGCCCACAACCTGAATCGAGCAGAATAAACACAACACAAAGAAAGGCACTCTGATGGCCAGTAACCGAGTGCAGAGCGGATACATTAGGGACTGTACGCTTTATTTAATTAAAAAAAATAACATGTAGGTCACCTGATCTGGTTTTTATCGGGTTTAGAAGTTTAATAACATTAAAAATCTTCATCTTTTTAAACCTGAGCTCTTAAAAAAACGAGCATAAACAAGCTACTCCATCCGTTTTTCATTATTAAAAAAACTATCATTTTTTACTTATATATTTTATAAGTAAAATTATCCATTTCAATAAGTATTTATTATACATTTTTTAAATCACTCTTCATAATTTATATTAATAAAAAAATTAATATATGCTTATATTAATTAATATAGGATATTTTAGTTTACTTTTTTATTTTTCAAACATAATTATTATAATTAATTGATTTTCTTAAATCATGTGATGCAATTTTTTCTTTTATATGTAAAAATGGAGAGAGTATCTTTCAAATGTGGGGTGTATTTCCAGCTCTAAAACCGATCAAAAGGATTCAACAACCAATAGAGATTTGAGGGGGCTACCTCTGGAAACCGGCAATTAACACTAATACAAATGATAAGGAAGCAAATTAGAGCATTAATTACACCAAAACCCAACGACTATGCCATTTAGCCACAAGTTCACAGTTTAAAATAGCCATGGCCCGCAGGGAGTACTGTTTAATTGTAGTGACTTTGAGATATTAAGATAATATAACGACTGAAAGAAGATTTTTTAATCGTCATTTTGTTATACAATTCACGTCGTCTTGTTATAGTCTATCCAAGCGACGAAACCCGGTTGAAAATGACAACACCTTTTGGCCGGATGGAGAAGCAAAAAATGTCCACGAAATCAAATTGGATGGCCCCGGTTTCTGGACCTCGAATATAGAAATTAAAATCAAGCAATGATGGGAGGGGAGGTCTTGACTCTTGACTCTGGAGAAGGAAAGAGAACAACAGCGAGGAGGATGCAATCAGTCGCCTCATCTCTGACGCTTGCTTTCTTGTTTACCTTGAGTCGTCTGAGCTTAGGAGTGGTCGTGCATAGTGCTGATCACTATACCGTAAACGACTTCCCAGCTGACTTCATCTTTGGATCAGGCTCCTCTGCTTATCAGGTCCTTTTCTTTCTTTTCCTTCGCTTTATATTTCCGTTCTCTTCTTCCTTTCTTTCTTTATGACTCTGATTATGGATTATAAGTTACTTGTTACTGATATTTCTGTATGAGATAACGAAAAGGTGGAAGGAGCTGCTGATGAAGATGGAAGAACTCCTAGCATCTGGGATACATTCGCTCACGCTGGTTTAATTCTTCTTGCTCTTGCTTTTTCTGTAGTATACATGAACTGTTGATTTCTTTTCTTTGATGAAAAGTGGCTCTTCATTAAGAAAACAATCTACAGTACAAGAAAGACACTAAACTTTCATCATTCTCCATCTCAACACAAGAGGGAGGATGATCTAACATACAAAAGGCATTCTCAATAGTATGACTAAGGTTTGCTAATCTATGGTCTCGGAAGTTAGACACTGTTGATTTCTACTTGTATATATGTTCACAACTTCGTTTTGGGTTTGCACTACGTTTTCTAAATTCAGAAAGAAACGTTATTTTGCGGTATCACACTGCACGGAACAAAGAGGAATTACAAATTAACCTTGTCCTGATTGTATTTCCTTGAGTCCGGACTCGGAGAGCGGTGTGAGATTACTTGATCTAAAATTTAATAATGTTAAATATATATATATATATATATATACGAGGCTTAAAAGTGCATATCTAATAAGTTTTTGGGCTGAGGTTGCCCGCCCTCTTGTAATTTTCTCCAAAGTGAAGCACCCCAAAATGCACACATGGCTCTGTCCCTGCACGTGTCGTTATCATGCACCAGTCATTCATGTACCCAAAGAGGCGAAGACGAACTCTCATTTTATTATTATAATTTTATAACATTTCTTATAATAAGGGCATGCGGATGGGGCCACTGGAGATGTAGCCTGTGACGAGTATCACAAATACAAGGTTCATAATTTATATTCACGCTCTCCCTTCTCTCCCCCTGTCTCTGTGTGTGTGTGTGTGTGTGTGTGTGTGTGTTTTTTTTTTTTTCCCCTTTAAAGCAAGAATTTTTTGCCTCTATTCCAATTTGGTTATGGCTGAACGATCCTGTTTAAGTATCCAAAGGGTGGCGTGGACGATATGTTTTGTTTTGGTGATATTTGAATATCTTGTGCAATGCAGGAAGATGTACAACTCATGGTTGAAACGGGGCTTGAGGCCTATAGATTTTCCATTTCCTGGTCGAGACTGATACCAAGTACGATTCCCATCCTGAACTTCTGCCAATGAGTGGTTGATTTGCTCATATATTTACGTTCAAACTTCATAATAGCAACAAAATCACTTTTTACTCAGATGGCAGAGGACCCATCAACCCGAAGGGGTTACAGTACTACAACAGTCTCATCGATGAACTTCTCAGCAATGGTTGAGTTTTCACCCTTCTTTTTAAAGAAAGAAACCATGGGTTGAAATGTCTTTTGCTTCTTCAACTGATATAGTATTTATTCCCGTGAACAGGAATCCAACCCCATGTAACACTACATAACTTCGATCTTCCGCAGGCGCTTGAGGATGAATATGGAGGTTGGATGAGTCGTGACATCATGTACGTCCCTGAGCTTTTGTAACTTCCTTTCTGTGCGTGTTATCTTGTGGTTTTGATACGTTGTCGTGGTAGGATACTAGGATTGAATTAACGACGTGAATGTGAATGCAGAAAGGACTTCAAATACTATGCTGATGCGTGCTTTAGAGAGTTTGGTGACAGAGTAAAGTACTGGAATACTGTAAACGAACCCAATGTCTTCGCTTTAGGAGGTTATGATCAAGGAGCCCTGCCCCCTCAACGATGTTCTCCGCCATTTGGTTTTGTGAACTGTACTAGGGGCAACTCAACAACTGAGCCCTACTTGGTAGTTCATCATATCTTGCTAGCACATTCTTCGGCCGTCAGATTGTATACGAAAAAATATAGGGTGAGTCGCCTTGTCTTCCTCCATGATATGCTTTTTATTTTCTAAACGAATTAGATAGATTGTTTAGAACCCTTATTCTAGCTCCCAATCATTTTCTGTGGATCTGGACATGTATTCTGGTTATAAGGAGAAACTGTATTGGCAGAAATAACGTTCATGACCGCCAACATATTATTACATTGCAGAACAAGCAGCAAGGATTTGTGGGTATCAGTGTTTATACATTTGCATTTCTTCCTCAAACTAATACAGAAAAGGACATGTTAGCAGTTCATAGAGTCAATGATTTTATTGTTGGCTGGTAAGTTGTTGACCCTATCATTGGCGTTTTTTAACTTCTATCTTCCACTTAAGATCTTTATTTACACCATCCTTGAGCTTTGGTTTGGGGCAAAGATTTGAGGATTTTTCTTACCAGTTTCTAGTTGGGGCCATGAGATCACGTGAAGGATGCCACTGTGAAATGTATCTACTACTCTGTTGCAGGGTTCTAGAGCCCTTGGTGTCCGGAGATTATCCTGCTTCCATGAAAACCAGCGCAGGAGCAAGAATTCCAGCCTTCACAGATCGTGAATCCAAGCAAGTCAAGGGTTCATATGATTTTATTGGCCTCATCTACTACACCATTGCTAATGTATCAGACAATCACGATTCGTTGAAGCAGAAGTTTAGAGACATCGGTGCAGATATGGCTGCAAAACTAATCAGTACGTTCTTTCGCTATTTTCAGTTATCTAAAGATAGTGGAATTTGCTTAAAAAAACACTGAAGCACATCTCTGTAAGCTTACTATATTAATTACATTCAGTATCTACCAACAACCACTTGGTTCAATGGCATCCCACATCCCCTTTAAAAAGGGAGGTTGTAAGTTCGATCTTCAAGTGATCTTGGGAGATATTATTAGGTGTGTGCGCCCCCCTCCCCATGTGGAAGGGGTATTTAGGATATTAAAAAAAAAAAAACATTCAGTATCAATTTCACTAAAAATTCTGTTATTTGTGCCAACGGAAAAAAAAAAAAAAATTATGTGATTTGCATCTAATTCAACTCACTGCTCAATTGAGTACTTTAAATTATTGTGCATAACAATATCCCCCACTGATTTCTCAGCAAGCCTTGGAAATGGCGGGGCAATGTAATAACTCACTGCGTTCTTGGTTTTGACAGTGGGAGCGGATCTGTTTACAGCAGATGAGGTAAGAGTTGAATTATAAAAAAGTTTAAAAAAAAAAAAAACCCATTGATTCGATGATGTGGATTAGCTCAATGTACAAGTAATTGGCTTAATTTATACCCAGTATCCTATCACCCCGTGGGGTCTACAGCAAGTGCTGGAAACATTCAAGCTCCTCTACGAGAATCCTCCTATATACATTTATGAAAACGGTGAGTCATATATAAGAAATCTGCGGACATGGTGAGTTCAAATGGGGTATTTTATATCTATGGCACGTGTTGATAGGTCAAAGGACAGCTCGCAATACATCACTCCAAGACCTTTCGAGGGTGAAATACTTGCATGCACACATTGGAGGCGTGCTTGATGCCTGGAGGTAAATTATCACACTAGTGTCCGTTTCAACTTTTGATTATATTTATAGTGCTCAGATTTGTGAAATGTTACCAGGGACGGATCAAATATAAGAGGGTACTTTGCATGGTCTTTCCTAGACCTGTTGGAGTTGCTGGATGGATACAAATCCACCTTCGGCCTATACTATGTTGATCTTGATGACCCAGACTTGAAAAGATACCCAAAGCTCTCTGCCAAGTGGTACTCTCAGTTTTTGATGGGTCGAAGTAAAAAGGCCTCATCCTCATTCATTGTTGCACCCCGTCGATCTTCGTCCTGACGTGGATCCATCTGTTCTTTCTGTCGCGCATTTATTTCAGTAGGCTTGGTTGTTCTCGTTAGTAGTGTTACTGACACACACACAACTTTCTAAAGAAAATGTACAACTTTCTAGCTTAAACTGTATTTTAAGGAAAATTAACTAATAAGTGAAGAAATCATATTCACGAACCCAAATTCACACCTCCATGGTCGGGGAATTCACGCTTAAATTGTTTGCAACTTGAAATCACATTTTATTCAAGAATTTCCCAGTAGACAATAGAATCAAAGAAAAATATGTACCTGGTAAGGGGAAATATCTAGCAATGGTAGTTTTATCAGTAAGATTAAACATACAACAACACAAAAGTATACATTCGACACACCACAACAAATATAGCTTTGAAACTTCTAAAAACACTTCTTTACTGCTGTACGCTGCAGCTGTAGATTAATGTTTTATTTTTGGCTTCTTCACTATCATCACAGTGCAGTGAGCATGATGTGCACAATAGTCACTTACACTACCTAATACCGCCCTGCATATAAAAAAATCGTCAAAATATACAGTATTTTGGATGATTTTTAAGTGCCGGCTTCTGTATTTAAACACGTGCAGCTCTATGATGCGTTGAACAAAGCAAGCCAAATAAAACTAGAGAAAGTTGATAATTTAAAAGTGATAATAAGCACGTGAAACTGTCAAAGATGGACAAGGAAGCGCTAAATAATGCAGTCTAACACTAACTTGTGAGGGGACCAAAGGAGCAGATTTGGGCTTTGCCGATGCTTCTCATGAACTTAATAAAGCAGCAAATCTATCTTATTTATGTTATCATCAAATTTTATTTGGCAAAGCATAGATTTAGAGAATTCCATAATGCTGCGATTAGTTCAGTATATTCGTGGTATACTCCACAATCATACCGACATCAATGTGAACGTAGGATGATAATCACCAGCAGGGTGTATCTTACCTTTTTATAGCTCCATAACCATGACTCCCCACGACCAGCATTGAAGCATGATGCCTTTCAACTGCATCGCAGAGTACATTTCTTGCATCACCTTCCACCACTTCCACCATAACATCATTCCCCTAAACGAAAATTGGTAATCAGATAATCATGGCACGGTTCATGCACGCCTATCTAGAAAGCACTAAGACTAGAGACTTCTCAACATCAGAACCCAGCACAATAGCCTGACAGTATAATTTCTCCGGTCATAAATATGAATAAAGAAAAACACAACCATACAGACACTACATTCTCCTAGCCTATTTTAAGAAAAAATAGAAAGATGGAAACGCAAGAAGCACCATATATAAGACAGTTTTCAGTAATTTCGCTGTAAAAGAAGAACAGCCTGCAGCATAGCATGACTATGAAATACCAGGCCATATACGGCCAATAAAAAGTCACTGCCCCGCTTAACAAAGAGAAGTGGAACCAAAACTATACTCCCTGGCCACTGCCCATTTTACTTTTAGTCTTGATCATAGGCAAAAACTTAGGTGAGAATTAATGAATGTTTTCAGTCGTACCTTCATTTAGAATTGGACGAGAGGAGTGGTTGGAATTGTTGCAATAGATGGCCATTATTACTAACAAGTATAGTTGCCAAAAAAAAATTAATTTCAAACATAATTAAAAGAATAATTATTTCTCTTAATATTGTGAAACATCTTTTTGCTTATAACTGACTGGGTATCATCAACATAAAGTATAGTAATAAATTAAATATCTATCTCCCTGTTATCAGTCTGTGATTGGATCTGTTCCTTCGATTTCTTTCCTATTTCCAACAGGACATTTCATTAGAATTAAGAGATTACGGTCATTAGTTTTTAAGTGGCGTAAACAATCACGTATATATTGTAGAAGAATAACTGGCACAATAACTTGGAAAATAATGATGAATTACCGATTTGCTGATGCAGAGTTCTTTAGCTTTTCCAACAACTCTGGCAGCAATCTGTCTCAGATCGGCGTCAACAATGGGCAAAACATCAGCGGCTCCTGCAAACTAATCGTTGCATCAAATCCCGTATAGGCAAAGGCAAGGCGATTTGGAATCAGCTAACTAGGAGTAGAGTAACAGCGTACCAGGGCCAGCAAGGCCAACGACGGAAGTGGCAGAAGGCTTCGCATGAACAAGGAGGAGCTTGAAAAGGGGATTAGGACCGGATGCAAAGAAATGATCGAGAGTCCATTGGAGGGCGTAGGTGCTGTGTTCGTAGTCATCGATTCCCACCACCATCACTTGCTTCTCTAAGGTGGCCATGGAAACCTCTGCTCTTTGACTCTGATTGGAAACAACGGTAAAGCCAGATGAACCGAAAGTTGGGACTTGGGCAGGGGATATACAACGTCGTTGCATTAGTCATTTTCATGACGCGACCCGCTCTTGCTAGATTGACGGAACTTTGTTTACTTGTCTCTCTTTTACTAGGTATCCATTGTGAGCCATAAACAAAATTATAAAATTACGTTTCCACAAAAAAGGCATAAATAAATTTACGTTTCTTGAAGCCTGGAATCGCGTTTGCATTATATTTTTATTTGCATAAATCGCACTTTGTATCAATGAAGTCAAATGTGAATGTTATCTTGGTCATATGGTAGATAAAGAGGACTTGAATAGATTGAAATGAAATGAAATAGATTAAAAAAAATAAAAATAATTAAATTATTCTTTTTTCAAAATAAGTTTGATAAAACTTAATATATTGAAAATTATAAAAGTAAAAATTATTATATCCTCCACAAATTTTATGAATCACTATTCTCAACTTTATAGATTAAATTACTCTTCTCTCCTCATAAATATGGTTGAGTTGTCTTCTTTTCACATTTTCATCATTTATTTTTTTAATTTATTTTATTCTCATATGTTACAGCAACCAATCAAAATGACCAAAGCAGTCATAAACAAAATTATAAAATTATGTTTTCACTGGGGAAAAAATTGGAAGCTCAGAGTTTCATAGAGATGCCAATCCTTCCTCTGACCTTGTGCTCATAATAGGCTACTAACCAATGCAGAAAGATGCCGAAGAAAATTGATTACGGATAAGCACTGCACTTGGTGCTTGAACAATAATGAAGATCTGATGCATGTCCTTTGAGACTGTCTCGAAACTCATAAACTCTGGCTCTCGATAGTTAAACAAGACAAACGACATGTCTTTTTTGCCATGGACCTGAAATATTTTTTGATGAGAGTAAAACATACTTAGGATATAGGAGTTTGACAGCTTATAATTGCGTCAAATTTGATTGAGGCTATCAACCTCATCACAGGAGGTGATATCATCAAACACTAAGATCACTCTTTGATCGAGGAAATTAGAGCAGTCATGCGGAGGGAATGGAGTGCTTTGGTGATTCATACAGCTTGCTCAGCTAATCAAGTAGTTGACTTTTTAGCTCGTAAGGCTCTTTATGCTTGGCTAGCTGGATTCAATCACATTAGTGACCCTAGTAAATTTCAACATTTGTTGGATAAACACTCTAGTAGTTTAAGCAGCTAGGCTACTTTTCTCATCTTGTATATATAAAAAGGCATAAAAAAAAAGCAGCTAAGTGAGTTATTTTGTTATTAAGATTATTATCTCATATTGTGGTTATATTTTTACAGGTTATAGTAGTGAGTCAGAAAAGGGGAAGGACATTGGACCGGCATAGTAAAGTTATCACCATGAGATCTCAAAGTTTGTGTAATGAACTTATTATGTTATACCCATGTATATGAATAAGTTGTCATAAGATGACATTTGCATGTTTTGAATTGTGACTTACAGTAATTTTGAGATCCTAATGTAAGTGAAACTATGATATATATAGTAAATCATGTGATATGGGCTAATATTTAATTGAAATTATGTGGTGAAATATGTGAGTTTTGTGAATCTTAGCTTAATTATGTTAAAAAGTGGCGAAATGTAATTATGAGTTGAGATGGCCTTATGTGTATATTTGAATATGCTGACAATGGTAAACTTATATTGAAATTGTGAATAGAATGGCCAGGAACACAATAATGTGTTCAATTGTGAAAACAATTTTTATTGTGAAAAGGGGCGAATGAATGGCCAAATCTTGATTTATGAATATGTATATTGTGATTATAATTTAATCAAGTGTGTTAGGTCTTTTTAGACTTGATTCTAAGCCCAAAATGGCTTAATGAGATAAAGTGTGCGATCTGAATACTTTGGTGCATGAAATTTTTAGAAAAAGTAATTTTTTACACCAGAGTATTCAAATTTAGATCAGATCGTTAGATCACATCCAAACTTTTCTTGTTAGCTAGCTTATAAGGTAAATTTTATGTAGGTGCTTGAATTACTTTGGTCGGATATCATATGTGAAAACAGTGCATGCCAAAAGTTCACCTTAACAAACTGTCATATGACAGTAAAAAAAATTATTAAAAACCTAACCATAATTTTTTTAAAGACCTAACTATGATTTTCTTAAAAAAGTATGTACATCTTGTATAATCTTTGTAAATGACTAGTGAGACGCCAAAGAACCTTGTTTTGGATGTTCGATGTTCCCCTTCGGTACTTTATCCCTTATGTAGCTAAAGCAGCTATCAATTGGTGGGCAGGGCTAGAGTTCCCATAAGATGAGTGGTCCTAGTTAGGCCTAATTTTCTCAAATCAAATAGCCCAAATATTTTCCACTCGAGCTCGCCACCTGTAACATATCAAAAATTATCCTCTTAATTAATTAAGTTAATAAAAGGTAAATTTATGAATTTAAATATAAATAAATTTGAAAATAGTTAGAGACGGTTATTGTCTTTGGTTTTAGCTTTTAGATTTTAAAAGTGAATTGGTTTTGTAACAGCCTTCTGGGTCACCTCGCCTCTCCGAGGTCTTTTCCCAGCACCGGACACTCTCCTCCCAGGCCTCATAACAGGGCGACCCCACCCCTTACGGTGAGTATCAGGAGACAAAGGCTTCCCCGCAGTAGTATGCAGGATTATTCTCCTTGCGGAGAGCCTCCCCAGGTTCAATCCTCCAACCTCTCCTACATAACAAAGTTGAGGCTGAACCTAGTACCATTGAACCACTGAATAGCCACCAATTTCATATCAGAGGTAATCAGGAGGGTATAATATTGGCATATGATCATGTATTTAATCCCGGCCACATGGTGTTAGATATTGAGGTTCGGTGCGGTTAGGGGTGCATGGTTGGTGTTATTATGATCCCAGGTTGTACATTATTGATATATATATATATATATAATTATGTGTTTGAGGCCCGATCATATAGTTGTTATTGTTGTGGTCGAGATTATACGTTGTCATGCATACTTTATATGTGTATTTATTGCCAATTGCATTCATTTTTGATTGATATGCAATTGTATAGATTAGGTGAAACTTGGTCACTGAGTGGTTGTACTCACCCCTTTATTTAACATTTTAATAACACTAGTTTCGAGTAGAACAAAGAAAAATCACTAGAGGCTTGGAAACTCGGTTTCCTAATGTAGGCCTCTCGTAATTTTAGTTGCATATGTATAATTAATTGATATTGTTAACTAGAATAATCATATTTTGTTATTACTTGACTATTGAATATTGAGTACTGAAAGGTGTATTTTGGGCCTAATGTGTGTGGTATGAGATATATGAATAAGGTCAAAATACTAGTACAAGTATAAATTTAATTATATGTATGATTGTATTAGATTATATTGAGTTTTAAAGTTAAAATGTCTCTCCTTGTTATTTCTTAAATCAAGAGATTGAGGGTTAAAACTATAAAATATGTGATATCTGGTTATTGTAGTATATTACATAGGTTGTTTCAAGTTTATTGAGTGTGGTTTAAAGATTAGTGTGGGCTTTTGGCACTTAGATTGAGTTTTGGACACCCTAGTTGTGTTTTAAAAGCATAAATGAGTGAGTTTACATTTTATTGTCCAACTTTTGATTGAAAAATGATTTGAATGTGAAACCAATATCATTAATTAGAGCTCGGAGAAAACTTTCTATAGATATATAAATCACTTCAATCAGATATCAGACGGAGATTTAGTGCTTGTCGAAAGTTCGACCAGAAAATCTACCATGACAGCTTGTTACTGTCATGGATTCTGCTGTTTACGCCGCAGCATAAAATTTTATGTTGCCACGTAATTGTGCCAGAATTAAATATTTTGCTATTTTGACTTTAGTTTGATCTTATTTTACCTTATATGATACGCATACATGTTTTTCTCTGATTTTAGTTTATGAAATAATTTTATATCATTTTAAGTTTTGAACATTTAGGACCTCATTTTTACAAACTTGATAATTCATTTGAGTTATTTCCGTGATTACTTTGATTTTGTGAAGTTAATTGTGGATAAGTAAGGTGACCTTACACCACCTGTTTCTTGGTTTTATGATAGGAGAATTATTTTAAGGTATCATTCATGACAATTAATTACTCTTAAGTCTATTGACTAATGAACTTGGAAAGAAATGAATTGTCCATTTACATTTACCCAACAAGAAAATCTAGAAAATTACAAAACACCCACTCTAATTTGATATGATCTTGGTTAAATGGTTCAGATTCCCTGATTCCTAAACCATTTTAAATTCAACTAGATTTATAACCCAATGCCCATAAATGTTTTAGTATTTAAAAGACAAAAATAAATATAAATATTAAAAAATTATTTTAATATACTTAAAGTAAAATATATTGTTCTATTGTGAATTAAAATTTAAGAAACAGCTTCTCTATTTTATAATGTGTTATCCTTATGCATATAAAAAAATGCCAATATTTTTTCAAAATTTCTGACCTCCTACAATTTGAAAGACAATTTAACTTATTCTTTTCAAAATCTTGTTATGTCATATAATGCATCATCTTACAATTTAGTAATAATATTATTTATAAATCATAAATTAAACAAATAGTATAATCTATGTTATAATACTATTTATCAATCATATGTATGTGTGTTACAAGGCAATACAATGATTAATAAAAGATTAAGTATGCAGTGGAAAATAATTCATTAGCACAATTATATAAACGTCTTTGTGTTCAATGGTTTGAATCTTATTTGATTTTTCTGGAAAACAATCAGATTCATTTTGTTGAACGCTGTCTTTTGGCGACCATTACTGTTGCCTAAAGTAAAATATTTCATCCTTCTATTTCATTTCATCATTTACAGCTTGAAATCTCATTTTATTCGAAATCAGAAGATAAAATCAAATAAGCTATGCATCTGGTAAGGGAATCTATCCAGCACTTACGTAATAACTACTAGCTTTATCGTTAAAATTAAAACTAAAATTAAGATTAAGAATACAATAATACGGCGTGAAAGGAAACATCACACATGCCACAACAAATATATTTTCTAGAAATTTCTGAAAACACTTCATCGCTGTTCGCTGCTAATGTAAGCACTTTATTGTTGTCTGCTACTATAACGCAGATCAGTGCTTGATTTTTGGTTTCTTCACTATCATCACAGTGCAGTGAGCATGATGAGCACAATAGTCACTTACACTACCTAAAACCGCCCTGCATATGAAAAAAGGCGTCAAAATATTGAATGTTCTGGGAAAAATTTTGGTGGGCATTAGCTTTAGCCTCTGTATGAATGTATAAATACTTGTAATTTCATGATGAATTAAAGAAAAGCCAGATGAAAATGGAGAAAACCGTTATTATTTAGCCATGAGTGATGATAAACACCTGAAGCTGTCAATGTAACGCTGAACTGAAAGCACGTTAATATTGCAGTTTAAGCTAGCTCTGAAGGAACGTAAACAAAGGAATCTGGATAACTTTACCTCTTTATAGTTCCATAACCATGACTACCCACGACCAACATTGAGGCGTGATGTCTTTCTACAGCATCGCACAGAACATTCCTTGGATCACCTTCCACTACTTCCACTGCAGCATCATTCACCTGGGCGAAAATATATTGGTAATCAGATAATTATATGGCACGCTCCAATACATCTAGAAAGCATTGAGACTGCAGATTTCTCAACATGCATGAGAATGTAATTAGCACAAATATAACCTGATGGCATTATAATTTAATTTCTCTGGTAAAAAACATGGGGAAAAATCACATATCCTAAATACAGTAAAACAGATTCAACAAGTTGGTTGTCAAAGAAGAACAGGCACGTGGCAGATGACCGTGATATACCAGGCCATATACAGTCAATAAAAAGCCAAAAAAATCGGCAGGGACGTATATATCTAACAGAGAATTCGAACCAAACCTAAATCCTCAACATACAGTCAAGTAACAAATTCGGTGGTAAAAAAAAAAAAAGCAACAAATTCAGTCTGTGTGATCGGGTCTGTTCATTCAAATTCTTTTTTGGTTCATACAAGACATGCCATTGGGATTAAGAGACTAGGATCGTCAGTTTTAAACGGCGTAAACAATCACAGACATTGAAAAACAGATCGAATAAATTGGAAAACGATGATGGATTACCGATTTATTAGTGCAGATTTCTTTAGCTTTTTCGACAACTCTGGCAGCAATCTTCCTCAAATCGGAATCGACAACGGGCAAAGCATCAGCAGCTCCTGCAAACTAAGCACTATGTCAAATCCCACAGACGAAGGCAACGCATTTCGGAGTCTAGGGGCCGAGAAAGAGCGTACCAGGTCCAGCAATGCCAACAGCAGAAGCAGCTGTAGGCTTGGCATGAACGAGAACGAGTTTGAAGGAAGGATTAGGACCGTTCGCGAAGAGATGATCGAGTGTCCATTGGAGGGCGTAGGTGCTGTGATCGTACTCATCGATCCCCACAACCATCACTTGCTTCTCTGACGTCGCCATGGGAAATTGGACTCGGCCAAGAAGTACGGACTGGATGCTGCGAATTTATAGGAAATCTGATGCCATGTAGGTAGAATGTCGTCGCATAAGGTCAGTCCATGATGACGTGGATTCTATTATGTGCGGCCCTGCTGAAAAAACTTTGTTCACGTCTTTCTGACCTTCTCTTTATTTTCTCAAAGTTGTGGACAATATTAATATACTTACAAAGCAGCGTCTCTTTAATTGCTTTGTTGTTTTTTGGAGTGTCCTATTTGAATACGAAACCCCTGCTTGTTTCAGGCTCCTTCGAAAAAATGGATTTCCTTTTTATTTAATGCTGATATCGATGACTGGGTGGAAGGCTAATGTGGAGGTGCAAAGGTGTCCATTGAACCGATTCGCGATGGCCGAGTGAACACAGTTAGCTGATTCCTCAAGCAATTGGCACAAAAAGGAACCAGAATTATGTGTACCAACCTATAATATCTTCTTAGAGCATCTTTTAAAAGAGTCTTATCGGAATGCCATAGAAAAGAACCTTTTTTTGTCTTGTCCCTTTTGGTGCAAATACAGCGATCAACTTGTGGATAAGGCCTGTGGTCCAGTAAGATGATCAATTGGTGTTTCTTTGTGCATGCTCCCCCCCCCCCCCCTTTTTTGGTCTGCCAATTTGAATTTGCAATTTGCAGGTTAAGCGTGCAGCACACTAACCAACAAGGTACAAGTTTTCATGACCTTGTGCATGCTTTTTATGCTCGACATCCATGCCCACCTTCGCCTGGCACAAGCTAGGCCCATTTACTCGGAAAAAAGTGGCCCAAATGTTGTCCAGCTTGAGCCCGTTTACTCGGAAACAGATGGCCCAAATACTTAACCACATTACTTCAACCCTCTCCCAAATGCACGGCTAATCCAATTTTCAAAAAATCGAAAAACAAAAATATTAACAATTAGCAAACTAAAATAAAAAGATGACAAAATTTACTGAGCCCAACGCAAAGAGTGATTGTTTTGACCGTAGTGTATAATGCACGTTACACTCATATCATGCTTTCAAGCCAGTGGATTGCAATTACAAGTTGAATTCAAAAGCCGGAAGGAGAGCAATTATCCATTTATTGCGAGGACTAGGAATGATCACAGATTCACGAGACGCAAGATTTCCCCCCTTTCAGGAACAGATAAGATGAAGCTAGAGGTCAGAAAATAACCCGGAAAGAAAAAAGAATTTACAGAATACCCACTTTCATTATCAGGCTTCATCGTGCTTATCTTTAAAAACACAGACAGGATCCGATTCCTTAATCATTTTGACCCACTACACCGAAATTGTCAACCAGGTTAAGCCGCAACGGCATGTATGCGCATCCTCCTTTTTTGAAAGATGACCGTGGTCTCAACAACGATTGACACGTTCTAATGTTCTATACATGTTTTGATTAAGTGGACAGACAAGAAGAACCGGGACAGTCTTCGTAGGTTGCAGTGAACGATCATTTTGACAGGAAAGAATAGCCCCTCTTCTCAAGTGGGGAGTTGTTGCACTACCAGATATGTGTGTGTGGTGAAATGGGCACAGAGAATAGCGAACACTGGTTAAAAGCAGGGACGTTCGATCGACCGAAAGATTCGTCGGCACAAAACATAAATTATTGTCCCTTTTGCAATGTCTGTGCAGGATTGGTCGACAATTCTCAGTGGACCTTCCACTAGCCACGATGTAAAAGAATAAATTAAAGGAGTGTTGGGTACTTTGTAACGTAAGAAAGCATTCTTTTTATTCGAGGATGATCATTTTGGGACCGAGAAAAAGAGCAAGTATATCATAAAATATAAATTTATGTCATCATCTTCTCTAGCAGTGATGGGATTTTAGTTCAACCCATCAATCAAGATTTGTGATTGTGCTTCGGCGAGTCCAATACCTGTCCCAGGAAGCGATTTGTTTAGCCGCCTCCATCAATTCAAGAGATAAAGTTAAATAACGAGTACCATTCACTCTTTCAACGGATAGATTATGGATAATTTGGCGACTACGAAATTTATAAATTATATCATTTTTCTTATTTCAATAGAAAAAAACTCTCCCTTTTTTTTTTTTTGGTTTTCCCTTTCTGGCTCTGGGTGAGAATTAGTTGATTCATCACGCGAATCATGAAAAATGATGTTGACAGAGAAATAATAATGGAGGGAAAGTGTTATTATTATTATTATTATTATTATTATTTAAAGAGAAGCCCTCGTGAAGAGATGAAAATGCATGTCTGCATGTGAACATACGGCTATGCAGTCATGTAGACGGGGAAGGTGGGGAAAGGAAAAAAAAGCCGAAGAAAGGAGGGTTCTTCAGTACTTGCGTAAACGCAACAGCGTTTGTGTTCTTGGAAGTCTTCTCATAAATATTTGGGGCCACCAAGATTTGTTGTTATCAAATGTGGACATTCAACCTTTTGCTTTACACCTATTAACATAGTATATTGCTCACGCTATTCTATTTCATTTAGAGCTTGGCATACTTACATTTAGTAGCATCTCGAACGAGATAGAGGGTCGTGCATAATAAAGAGAAGGAAAACACTTATATACTTAAACTTGTATATTTAAATTTTGTGTTTTCAATAAAATCAAGACATATGTATCTATTATAAAATTTATCTTATAATAAATTTTTATTATTAATATTATTAATATATTTAAATTCACATGTCTTAATTTAATTAAATAAAAATATATTAAATATATAAAGTTAAGTATGTAGGTCTTACCTTAAAAGAAAACTTCCAACTGAAAACTGCATTTACTCTTTATTATTGACCATTTTAGAATATAGTATAGCTAATTACATTTTTTATTAAATAAAATAAAAAAATGAGGTGATTGAAAAGGAAAGCATGGTATGTTTGTTTGCCACGGTTAATTTGGAATTTACTAGGATTTATTCACTGCACCAACTTTTGCGGATAGTGTAACTAAATTGACGCAGGAATTGGCATGACAGCGATCTTCGGGGAACATTAGGTGGTAAAATATTGATATTGAGATTTCTTTATCCTCACGTCTGCGAATCGGCGGTGCTGCTTGTTTTGAATAATTTTAATGGGAAGCGGACGATTATTTGACCTTTTCAGTTTTCACTTTTCACAGAGGCTCGAGGAACACCGAATACGTCACTCCCATGTTTATCCTTTACAGTTTTGTAGTACGCGTCAAAGCCTTGTATTGTATAAACTCGATTCCGTTCAAAAACAAAGGTGTCCAAGAGCTTCCGCCCTCAGTACAAATCTTAAGATCGAATCACATTCTCGTTCAGACCGATTTGCGTGTTTCCGCATCTCGTTTTCTATCCTAGGTTTTCAAAGGGACCCAAAGTGCCAGGGAATTGATGCTTCTGAGAAAAGATGAAGTTCTGCAAGACGTACCAGGAGTACATGCAAGGGCAGGAGAAGAAACATCCCGGGGTTGGCTTCAAGAAGCTCAAGAAGATCTTGAAGAAATGCAGAGTAGACTATCAACCCCAGGATCAGGTTGCCTTCATTGACGAAGCCACCGCCCACACCGTCCGGACATGCCCTGATCATTGCCCTGGTAATCAAAATCTTGTCTCTTCTCTCTCCCTAGAATTACCATGGCTTTGATCTCCTGGTTTCCATTGCTATTGCGTCTTTCTTCCTTTTATTTGTTTTCCATTACTATTTCCTCTGAGGGAATTCATACCATTCGGAGATGTTAACTTGTCAAGGACTGCGTCTTGCTAAGGAAACCAGCCGAGGATTTTCCGAATGGGTGTTCTAGAATAAACCAAAATGACGAATGGTTTTCTCCTCTCTATTTGTCCTCGTCAAGCCTTTCTCCTTTCCAACATTCCTTCTTTCCTTTTTCCTCTAACAGTTTGGTGACTGAAATCGATAGATGAATTATTATTAATGAATACCCTTTCCTCTGTTCGTTGCTCTGGAATGCATAATTTCTCCTATACCCAGCATATGAACTCCAGAGGACTTTTTGAACCGATCCCAACGTATTACCCGACGGGAAGTCGTATTTTTAAAGGGTGCGGTGAGGGATTATGCTTCAATGTTTTACGTCTAATCAACTAGCTCCTAGCTAATTCAATATATTTATGCAGTGTGCGATGGGACATTCTTCCCTTCACTTCTCAATGAAATGTCGGAAATAGTAGGCTGCTTTAATCAGCGAGCGCAGAAATTATTAGAGCTACATCTCGCTTCTGGCTTTAGAAAGTACTTGTTTTGGATCAAAGGAAAACGGCGAGGAAACCACACTACTCTCATTCAAGAAGGCAGAGATCTGGTTACCTATGCACTGATCAATGCTGTTGCTATTCGAAAAATACTCAAGAAATATGACAAGGTATGTCACTCCTGCTTCCCAATATAAATCTCTACTCGTTTCTTAGTCTTGAAAACCCAGAAGAAATAATGACTAACGTTGTTTACACACGCACCGGCGCTCACACACACTACAAATGTGACCGCAGGTTCATTATTCAAAGCAAGGGCAACTGTTCAAGTCTCAAGTCCAGAGTATGCATATGGAAATTCTTCAGAGTCCTTGGTTTTGTGAGTTGATGGCCTTGCACATCAATTTAAGGGAAACCAAGTCCAAGTCCAGGCATGCAGCCGTGTTGTTTAATGGATGTTCTCTCGCATTCAAGGATGGAAAACCATCAATTACTTGTGAGCTCTTTGATTCCATCAAACTTGATATTGACTTGACTTGTTCTATATGCTTGGTAAGTTACTGGGTTTAACTTGCTTACCCATATTCTCTGCATTAATCCCATCATGCATGTTTTTTTCATATTTTTCTTCTGTAATACCCTGTAGTCCTTCAATTTTATTTATCACTGATGAACTTAAATGGCTCTTATGCAATAGGACACAGTATTTGATCCTGTTTCTCTTACTTGTGGCCATCTATTCTGCTATATGTGTGCTTGCTCAGCTGCATCAGTCACTATTGTTGATGGTCTCAAGGAAGCAAATCCTAAAGCAAAATGTCCTCTCTGCCGAGAGGTATGGGTACCATATCATATGCCTTCACATATCGTATGTGTAACACAAATAGGGCTGACTTCTGTTCTTGTTATTTCCAATTCTTCTGATTTTCAATGCATCAAACATACCTACAACAGACTTGTTAATAACTCAGCCATTTCACGATTTAGAGTCAGTAGGCTAAATTGCTATGATGATGCTAAATCGAACTGCAGAAATTTGATGTAATCATACCTGTTGGTGACATGAGAAATTCAGTAGGGGTTTTGTGTTTCTCAGGCATTGAACCAATTAGCAACATTGATCACTTATATACGGACTCTTATTTGTGTTGATTGCAGAGTGGAGTTTATGAAGGTGCTGTCCACTTGGAAGAATTGAACATTCTGTTAGGTCGAAGGTATTGTAGCAACAATGTATTACATTTTCCAGTCATCTTGGTGACTTTGTCAATGCATCTTTTTATTAATCTTCACAACCTATTCTGACTTGCATGTTTTTTCAAAGGTGTCCAGAGTACTGGGAAGAAAGACTCCAGACGGAGAGAGCAGAGAGGCTTAAGCAAATAAAGGAGCATTGGGAATCAGAGTGCAGGGCTGTATTGGGCGTCTGAATTAGAGCACTAATTTCTAGCTTGGCTGAGCTCAATCATAGTTTTAGGCAAAAATTTGTGAATGTCCATTTAATCAATTGGTGTATGGCATGTAATATGGATTTCTAATTTGTTTGTTGTTGTCTTCTCTACCTTGGCCATGAGGTACCGAGCAAGCGGGTTCCTTGGCATTGATAGTTGAAATCATTGCAGGAGAACCCACAAATAGGAAAAGCCTGACTCCTTGCTTATTGGCATATTGAACTGTTCTCTCTCCCGTTGCAACTTTGCGTGTAATCAACTAATAAAACATCCTCTATTAGCTATTAACTTTCCATACTAGGCAAAGTGTGAATCTTTTCTTAATTACTTCAATTAGAAATGAATAGAATAAGATTTACTTCTGTTCATTTCTCCACAGTTCAGTTAAAAAAGACTAGCATAGCCTTATTTGAAAACCGTCAAGAGATGAATTGGTTCCAATAAACAAATTGACATTTCCTTCCCATGGCCAGTTAAAAAATATTGGTAAGAAGAGCTGGCTACAACTGGCATATTCTTGAACTAACGTGCTGGAGAGAGATGGAGTACTTGCCAAGTCTGTTACAAAGGTGGGGAAACACAGTTACATGGTCCAAGACGATCAATTTTATGAGAGAAGATAATACCATGCCATAGCAGCATCCATGGATAAAACCTTATCAGTTAACAAAGTATTTTTGAATTACACCATCAGTTTGGGAATTAACTTGCCCCACCCATCAATGGCAACTTTGCTTCTCTTTAGCATTACCCTCCACAAAAACACCAATTGCCTTTGCCTCACACTCCAATACTCTCCACTATCAACTACTGTTATTGAGTTTAACAGCATTTCCATTAGTCATGAAACAGACATTGAAAGTGAAATCCATATCCAGTCAGTTAACTGCATCTTTAACTTTAAGTTAACATTGTTCAAGGCTTTGTATTAACAGCCAAATGGATCTGCTAGACTCATTATTAGGCTTACGATAGAAAAAAAGAGGGGCCAGGGGAACTGAATTATTACTTATTTCTTTTAAAAACAACTTGTATTTTTTGTTGCTAGAAATACCTTATTTTTATTATTCAATCTTTTATCACATTAAATTTCAAAACCAAACAAAAATATTTAGACAGTCTACAATGTTTATCTAAAATCGAAGATGGCGGAAAAGAAAAAGAGGCAAAACGAAGTGCATCGTGGAACAAATAGACGAGCATTCTATCATGAAGAGGCCTTATTTATCATTCATTTCCATTCTTCAAGGTTCAAAGATCAATCTTGCCTCACCATGTTGATAGAAATGGGCCAATTGAATCATTGGTGGGCCTCTTCTTTAGTCAGGCCTATTGATTATGGGCCTCAGAACACCAAGACACATTGAAGCCATGGGGTCCAATTATCGACGAGAGACAAAGTCCCTGAAGCCGAGCCCTAAATGATTCGAGCTTCTACCCGGTTTAGAGTTGCATCCCTAACATTTGGGCCGTACGATTTCAGACGCGCTTGAGAGTTGGATCTTCGAGCTCGTGGAGGGTGCTATTTAATTGTCGGCCGGCATTTTTTATTTCTAAATCCTAAAAGAGAAAGTGTAATCCGTGCAAACTTAACTAGGGTTTTAGCTTTGCAGAATCCTTCGCTCTGTATCCAGTATGAGGTCAGACCTGCATTTTTTGCTCTGTTTTTTTGAATCACTCATTCTTTATTTATTGTTTTCGTCACAATCTATTCGAATGTTTGTCTTTCTTTAAGCATTATTTGTGATTCTGCATCTGTATAGTCTAGACGGTAAACTTCAATTTTACCCATGAGGAAAATTTTTAAAGAGTCAGACAAACGATTCTACTTATTATTACCTTTGTACGGCTGGAAAGACAGGTTCTGATTTTAGATACGTATTGATTTTTCTGAGCTAATCCAAACGATATTTTTAATAATGGCTTTTCTGTGTTCGAAATTTAGCTTCATTTCTGTTCATGCTCTATAGGCGACCGAACTTATTGTTTTCCTTATATAGTATCTACTCTCTGTATTGTGTCATGGCATGATTGTTCCAGACTCTGCCAGTGTGGATGGTCAAAACTCAGGGAACGCGTGTATTCATGCTGGGCTTGCTATAATTCTTAATCTTTTTTTAGATTACGAGCAATGAAGAAATCGTTATTCTTTTTTTACCACAGATGCATCATATGGAGTTAATCTGTGGATAATATTATAACTTCAGTGGTTGGAGTTAACTTTCAAGGTTTTGGTGCTGGTAAATGTTGGGCACTGAAATGATTTTGAGTTAGGTATATCTGATGGCTGACAGGAAGCAGGCTGCATTAGTGAATGACCGTTGACCAATTTGACATGTGAAACAAATTTAGTTCAATTTTCCTTTGTGTTGCTTCTTCCTCCCTTTATGAGAGGATGGAATTTTTGAAGGTGGACATTACCATAATTTCTTGACTCGTGTGATGTAGACTAATGAAAAGGAAAAAACAGAGGAAGTGAAAGTGAATTTTGAATTTTTTATGTCTTGATAGTTTTTATGTTGAGTGTTTTTTCCTGCTTTTTTATTGTACTCGAATTTCTTTTACTAGCCCTTTGATCATATCTTTGCTCTCTGTGATGCAGTCGTCATCCTGAGGTTAAGTGGGCTCAGAGGGTTGACAAAGTCTATATAACAGTTCAATTGCCAGATTCCAAGAATGCAAAAGTAGATCTAACTCCTGATGGCATTTTTACTTTCTCTGCTAGTGCTGGCGCCAAAGACCAACTGTATGAGTCAAAATTAGAGCTTTTTGACAAGGTGGATGTAGAGGTGAGAAGAATTATGGCTAATGTTTGGTTAGCACTAGCTTCGTCATGGTCTTTAATTAATTATTGTTTTCTTCCCTGACGAGCTAAGTAAAGATGTGTGCCTTCTGTTTTCCCAGCTTCGATACATGTCCTTGCATTGAATTTTCTTATCAATGCAATTACAATGTGCTTTCTGCTTCAATTTTTTTAGGAAAGAAAAAATAAACCATTTTGCATGATATGATTTTTAAATATGATTCACTTGCTCTTTAATGGTGCACTCTAATTTATATTTAGTACATTTTCTTGATTAATTTATGATTTTATTTTAGGAGAGCAAAATCAATATAGGAGTCAGAAACATATTCTGTGTTGTGCAAAAGGCAGAGAATGGATGGTGGAAAAAGTTACTGCGTGGAGAAGGCAAGGTTCCACATTACGTCAAAGTAGATTGGGACAAATGGGTAGATGAGGATGATGATAATGGTATACACAACTGTATATCTTGTTATTTCACTTGAATTCCTGAAATATAAGTCATGAAAAGATACTTTATTTGTAAGCACCAATCTAATGACTTGTCGTCACTTTGTGGTCAGGAGCACTTGGTGACTTGGACTTGGGAGGGATGGACTTCTCGGTATGCAATGTTCCTTTGTGATTCATAGGTTCAACCACTCTCACTGATATTACTTGTGCTGCTTTTGTTTGTGTGCTGCAGAAATTTGGCGGGATGGATGATGCTATGGGTGAAGATTTTGAAGACAGTGATGATGAAGGTAACTGTCTTTGATGATTTTCTGGCTGACATTGCATCTGCTGCTAGGTTATTGACTACAAAGGATACTTTTGGAAATTGGAAATTGACATTAGTTGAAATTTTTTCCTTGTGCTTCTTTTAAGCCTGGTCAATGATATTTCTGACTTCAGTTTGTAAATCAATCTGTCTGTGCTAATCCTTTGTTTACTGTTGCAACATGTCAACACTGCAGTAATGCTTTTGGTAAAGATAGTTCAGTGGTTCTAAGAGTGGTTGAGTATTAAAATAATTCTTGGTAGGACAATGTATCTTTGTTTTTATTTAGAAAATAGGATTTCATGGAAAGCTAAATGCATTTGAGATGATGGCATCCTTTCTCTTATTAAAAGAAAATATCTATATAATGTAAAATCTCAGAAAACTGTACAGTTTTGGAGTCATGAATGGTAACTCAACCGCTATACATTAGCATATTTTCTTATTAACTATTGAATCAACCGCTATACTACAAGAGATCTTTTCTCTTTATGCATCGGCACTTGTCCCTCAGTTGATGGCACAGTGGTGGCGGTGGCTGATGCAATTCCATTTAAACCCCTTAAAACTTGCAGTTCAAAGAATTCTAAGCGCTCATTGCTTTAAGAAAATTTCTACTTTCAGACGGTGTTGTGGGTGGGTGTTGGGCGCGGCGTGTGTGGATGGGACTTTTTTTCGTTGATAAACTGTGTATACGGGACTTTGTCTGCATAATTAAGTTGCAACGTGCATTTACCCCCATAGATTTGCCTATATTTTGTCTTTTCTTTGATGATTACTTGTGGGTGGTTCATCTGTATTGTGAAGCATTTTTAGGTGGTCGAATGTAGTGTTGTGTACCGCTATAATCAAAATTCAGGGTTCTTTTACCAGGCTAACCAAAATAAATTATTTTGCGTGTTATGATAGATCAAGAAGTGTCAAAGCCTGCTGGCGAACACGAGACTGACAAGGCGGGAGAGGAAGCCTCCAAGGGTAAGGAAGGAGGCCCCGGGGAGAAACATGAAGCTGCTTCAAGCACATAAGTACTTTCGCTGCTGCAGATGCAGATAACTCTTTTTAAAGTATGTGGAGTGGGAGTTTCAGCTGCTAATTACTATTGGTTGGTTTTTATTTAAAGAGACATATACATGTCTCTCCTCGTGTTAACAAAAAATTGACTCATGTTCACCAGCTAAAGCTTCTAGTTGAATTAGGATGATGTCCATTTGAGGATTTTAATTTGATGAATGAATGGCGGTATCTGGCTTTCTATGTTCGGCAGTACATTCTGTTTGTTTCTGAGCATGTTCAAGAAAAGTTGGGCCACATTCCCAACTCTTATGTTTGGATTAAACTCCGATTGCTATTTTACAAACCACCTGCTCTTAACGAAAATTTTGTCAGTTTTTGGTAGGAGATAAAGAAGAAATTTAATTTTAAATATATTTTTCCATGTGTGATAACACATGTCTGTGTTCTAAGCATTTTGATGACTATTAAATGATTCAGATTTTCAGATCCTAGTAATTTTATGATTTTCATTCGCTTTTTAGCGGCATGTTTGAACAGTCATTTTCTGTCCATACCCCATGGTGTGTATTATTATTTGCCTTAGAGCTGTGCTTACTGTCAGCCCCGACCACAGAGCAAAAAATATTGTTATATTTAAAATTTTCAACAAATGTTAATAAATATTATAGAATACATGTATGTTATGGTGAAAGTCTTCAAGTGACACGACAA